TAGGAGAATCGTCGCCGGGCTAAAGAAGAAGCGTCTGCCATGGAGGAGGAGATGGCCCTGGCTGAGGAGCAGCTGCGTGCCCGGCGGCAGGAACAGGAGAAGCGCAGTCCACTGGGCAGTGTCAGGTGAGGCTCTGCTCTGGGGAAAACCCAGGGCCAGGTCAGTGCTAGGTCAGGGTTTAAGAGGCATTGGCAGTTTCAAGGGGAAATTGGAGGAGAGGTGGCTTTGTGCTGGGTGGACACGTGGAGGTGGCAGCTGGACAACTGGGAGGCATAGATGTCTGCTGCAGCTCTTGGTCATCAGCCTGAAGTAGGCTTGGAGTCTTGGTGTGGGTCTTACAGCTTTATTGTTAGGCAAGGGGGTTAGGAAAAACAAAACAAAACGAAACGCCAAAACCAAAACCACCAGACAGAAGAGAGCCTTGGGTTTCTGCGCCTGTGCTGGTGTAGTGGATAGCGTCAGGCTGAGTGTGACAACTAGGGCATAGTCCTCCGTGGGCCTGTCCTCACTTCTCACACCAGCAGGTGTGTGTAAAGATTATCTCTTTACGTTTGGGGATTTCCACAGACTCAGTCTGGGTTCTGGTGTGATTCAGGAACCCAGGACAGAGTTTAGTTAATAGTTTTACTACTGCAAAGGAACCCAAAGGAGAGGTGCGTAGGAGGAGGATGCGTGGATCCTGGATGTGAAAATTCATCTGGCCTTGGGGCCGTTACCCTGGCACACTGATCTGTGACAGTGTATACTCATAGGTTTTGCCAGTCACGCACACTCCAGTAAGCTTTGATACGCACAGCTTTTAACTGAGTTAAGTGTCATGGTACATTGATGTGGGTGACTGAATCATTGCCTTGGTGTTTGAACACAGCCTCTGGTCCTCTCCCCATCCCCTCCCTTCATGGGTTCGGCTGTTGATAGCACATGGCCCAGAGCCCCTGTTCTCAGCACATGATTGGTCTCTTTGGCCAGGCCAGCCAGCTCCACCTCACTCAAGGTGGGCATGACCCAGCAAGAGTGTTCTCAGAGGCCCCAGCCTCTCGACTGAGTCCTACAAAGGCAAGTGCAGTGCTTTGTCACACAGCTAAAGTGGTGATCTGCTTCTCTAGGGGCCACAAAGGAGTAGTCTAAAAATCCATTGTTAGCTCCTTAATTGATGTCAGAGTGACTTCCTTTATCTCATTGGAGGGAGGTAGTGTGCGGGGGGGCGGGGGTGAGGTCCTTCAGCCTTGGAGATGCTGTGCATTGGGTCAGAAACAGCAAGACCTAGAGGCCCTTGGTCTTGTTGGGTCCCTGCTCAGAGGGAAACATTGTTTCTGACCTCCTCTTTATGTGTCCAGGTCCACAAAGATCTACACTCCAGGTCGGAAGGAGCAGGGGGAACCCATGACGCCTCGCCGCACACCAGCCCGCTTTGGACTGTGAGCTGAGGCTGTCCCAGGAGAGGATGGCAGCCAGGTGCCAACTTCTAGGACCTCCAGCCAGATTGCTCTAAGGGCCCGGACAAAGGCTTTCATCTGTGTTCATCTAGGCTGGGCAGTTCCTGCCGAGCCAGGTGTGGCCACAGGAAGAGGCACTGGGGTGCATGCAGGGCTGGCAGGAACGGAGTGCAGAGCGCCTGAGGAACTGCTTGAGTAGCAGGTGGCTGGACCATCACGGCCGTATCACCTGCGCCCAGGGCACTTGGCTCATGAGCGGCTTGCTGTGACTGAAACTTTTTTAATCCTTGTATAAAGAAGCAAGATAGAGGCAGAGACACTTGTAATTTGGTTATCACTTGGGATTTGGAAATAAATATATTATTTGTACAATGTGATTGCATCTTTTATTTCCTTCCTCTTTTTACTGCTCTTAGCCCTACAATAAAGACAGGAGAAGCAGAGCTCTTGGTTCTGTCTGTCTGTCCTTTGGTAGATCTTTCTAGAACCTTAGCTTTGATCTGTGTACATTGTGCTGATGGGTCCCGAGTGTGTGTTTACACATGGTCAGGTGCTTATGTGCATATATGTGAGTGTGAGTGCACGTGGCATGTGTGGAAGAGGCCAGAGGGTGGTCTTAGGTGTCCTCCTTAGTTGCTCTTCACCTCATTTTTTTGAGATAGTTTCTCTCACTGAGCCTAGAATTCAATTTTGCTGGACTGGCTGGTGAGCAAGCTGCAGGGACCCACCGGCTCTGCCCTCTGCACAGAGACTGATGCCACCATGCCTGCATTTTGTCATGGTGCTGGGAATCTGAACCCAGGTACTTTACCGTCTGAGCTACCCTCTTATCCTCTAGGCAGGGATTCCTCGAGGAGGGGTTGAGTGAACGGGACCCAGTTTAGGTGTAGAGATTTCAGAATGGCTCAGGCATCTAGCACAGGACAGGCCAAGATCTGTGAATACCAGCTGTTTCTGAGGCAGGTAGGCAATGGTGAGGCTTTGATGGCCTGCTAATGGGAGGGAGGGGAACAGGGGCTCAGTTTAGCTGTCCCTGGGTTTGTGTGTGGCTTCTTTAAAGAGGCTTCTAGCTGCTTGCTTGGGAAACCTAATCTTGGCCCTGAGTGGCAAGGCTAGGAGAGGGTGTCTGGATGGCCCAGGGAAGGTGGCTTAGCAGAGGACCAATTTACAGGTTCAGGCTGAGGAGACAATGGAATAGGAAGAATGAGGTTCTAATTAATAGTTTCATGACCTAATAAGCTGAGACAATGGACACAAATCCTTTTACACGTTCCTTTAGATGAGAAGAACAGGATGTCATGCAAACTATGGGTCTAATGCAACTTAATTTAAATGTAAGGAACATCTGGCTAAGGATACAGATGCCACAAGATGCCTGGACAGTTGAACTGGAAGTCGGTTCTCTCCACCCACCTTACTAAGGCAGGGCTGTCCTTTTCCGGCCATGCTGCATACCCCAGGCTGGCTAGAGGTGTGCCACATCCAGCTTCTTGACATGGGGGATGGAATCCAGGTATCCAGGTTTGCTCAGTGAGCCCGTTAGCCTGCTCTATTAGTTGCTGTTCTGTTACTGTGATAAAATACCACGACCAAGGCAACTTAAAGAAGAGAGAGTGTGAGGGTTAGGAGACCATCTTAGTGAGGTGAAAGTATGGGGGCAGGAGCAGGAAGCTGAGGCAGGAAGTGGTGTCCCACGTGACCTACTTTCTCTAGCAAGGCTCTGCCTCCTAAACCTCTGGAAACAGTGCCAATGACTAGAGGCCAGGTGTCCAAATATCTGAGCCTTTGGGGGACATCCTTATTTAAACCACTACACCTGCCGAGCCATCGCACCAGCCCTCTTTTCTAATTGGGATATCATTTGTTTCTAGACAGGGGTTCTCTGTGTAGCCCTGGCTGTCCTGAAACTCTGTAGAGCAGGCTGGCCTTTACTTCAGAGATGCAATTGCCTTTGCCTCTTGAGTGCTGGGATCGAAGGGGTGCGCCACCACCACTCAGGTAATTTGGATATTTTTTCTTTTCCCTCCCCAAGCATTCTGGATACAATAACTGGTACTTAAATAGAAGAGGCAAAAGTGGGCATCCTTGTCTTATTCTTAGTCTCAGAGGAAACCTGTTAGGTGTGAGCATGAAGCTGTGGGTTTTTCATACGGAGCTTTTATTACGCAAATGAACTTGCCTTCTATCCTCACTTTGTTGTATGTGTGTGTGTTTTAATGGCAAAATGTATTGCCACAACCATTTCTTTTTAGTATCAGATAGTAAATGGCATGGAAACTGACTTTGGTTATTTCGGTTATTTCTTAAGGAACACTTAGATTCTTCCTCTTTCTCCTTCCTTCCCTAGGTCTGTTCTCTCTGCCAGTCTTCTGCCTGCCTGAGCTTTCACAGTGAGGTGACTGGGTGTTATACTAAAACATTTCTATCTTCTTGCTTTCCCATACTTTGCTTCTGTTTTGATCTGATATAATCAACCCCCACAGAAAATGAAAGACAGCTTAGGATAACTGTGTGACATTCATGGTACCTGAAGGTTGTCATTTTGGCTAACATACATGAATTATGGAGATCTGCCTGCCTTTTTAGTAGACCGACTGTGGACTTTAAGGATATTAAACTTGGTTTTGAATCAAGGGGCTGTATCTAAGGCCATGATGTAGGTCTCATTGGTGTCAGGTGTTTTTCAGTCGTACTTTTCTCTAGAAAATAAACGCTAGTCTGAACCAAGCTGGGGAGATGGACATCAAACACGAGGCAAGGTTTCCAAAGCTACTCAGTACCCCACTTCCCTCTGGAAGTTCTGGCTGGAACGTAGACTCCTGCAGCCTGGCGAGGTTGAAACATCACCATTAGCAGCGAGTTTTTTTGGCCTTGATTTGGCTGTGGAGGGAGGCAAGGGTATGGCAGAATCATTGCCCACCAGCGGGCTTCTTCCATCTTCCCACCCTTTTAGAAATGCAAGCTCTTCCATTTCTTTCTCTTCTTTTACCCTGGTAGCTATTTGTCTCTATTTCTCATGGAATGGAAATATAAATTCCAGACATGTACTCAGCTTAACAAAATCCTACCACAATAAAGTGGTTTAGCTGTCCTTGGAGTTTGTTATAATGGAATTTTACTTGTATTGCCCTGGCTGGGGAGAAAAGTAAACTTGTTAAAAGGAAGAATGTAATATGGCAGCCAGGGAGGAGACAGATGGTGGGCTCAACTGTCCCCACTTGGAAAATGCATCACCTTTTTCTAGCACTTTCTTTTGGGTCCTAGAACTCTTTTCCTTTGTGGAGGGAAAAAGAAGGCTTCTAGATTTTTTTTTTCTATTTAAAATTCCAGACAGAGACACACAGGAAAAAAAAAATAAAACAAAATAAAACAAAAACACAAAAAAGGCACTAATTCCCACTTGTTGGTTTAAAAATCAAATCCAGATAACTTAACACTATTTCTCCTACAAAAGTAAAGAGAGGCCAGCATGTTTTGGCATGTGGGGAATGCAGGGATGGGCAGGTTGCTGCTGATGGGTGGCACAGAGACACCTCAGAGACATGGAGGCTGTGTTGTTGTGTCTTTATTTCATAGTTTGTCCTGGAGGTGGGGGGAGTGGGATACCACAGCTCACTCTACTTCAGGAAGTAGACAAAACTCAATAAATCATGAACATCTTGCAAACTAGGCAGGGGTCTTGACAGATGACCGTAGGGGCTGGTTCCAGTCAAGTAAGAGGGATGGAAACTCACTGTCCTCAGAAACCGAGTAGAAAGGAGCTTAGGGCGATGGTCCGATTCTAGGAATATGAGGATCCTGGGGGAGCAGGGAAGAAATGAAAGCTTTAATCTGAGGAGAAATGAATGGCTGACTTCTTCAGGGCCAGCCTCATGGCTAAGGCAGCTCTGTCGTGGAGTAACATCTGGGGTCTCATGAAATAAAGAGGTGGTAGGAACAGTACCACAGGCCCAGGCTGAGTGGAGGGCTGGGGTGCTGTTGTGGGGTTTCCAGCCAAATAAAAGAAGGAAGACGCCTATTTTTTTTTCCTTTTCCCTACACCCCACAATGGGATGGAGTCAGGAAAGAGATAGGTGTGAGATACGAGGCACTCGCGTATCACCAACACTGTCACATCTGAGGGACATTACAGATGTGGAAGGATTGGTCACTGGTCCAAGGCAAGCTAAATGTGTGACCAAAGGTCTCTAGTAGCCTGTTTGCTTCTTCCTTTAGGAAGTCTAATCCAGTGATCTTTAAAGTAAAACAGCACATTATCGCAGTTTTGGTCCATGGGACAAGTGAAAGGAGACATTACGGGAGCCAAGAGCATGCAGCACGCGCACCCGAAAAGTGGGGCATCCCCATGTACTTGGTGACATCTGTTTTCCGTGGCAGGTCCTGGGCTACTCCTCTCCAGCCCATCGCACTGCACGGCTTCGCCTTTGTGGTGGCCTCCAGTTTGCTTGGGCTCAGGACTTTGTTGCAGATCCTCCCATTCCCGGCCTTCAGCTTCCTCTCTTCTATCTCGTTCTTCAGCTTTTTGTTCTCCTGCTGCAGATGGAGCATTACATTGTGGAGGTGGCTGCAGGAGGGAGAGGGAGGGGAGGAGGAAGGTTTGGTCTGCTTGGCTCCTGGTTGGGGAGGACCCAGAAGCTGTCACAGGAAAGGGGTGAGGTGGGCCCACCTTTTCAGAGCTTGGTTCCGGCATACACCCTGTGTCCCGAACCTGGGGCATGAGGAAGATCCAGGAAGAGGATCCCCTCTGCCAGCTCTGGGCCTCTGGTCTGTATTTTTTGATGGGGACAATTAAGCCTGCCTTGTCTGGGGTTCATGGAAAGACTCAGTTTGACAAATGATGGAAACTGAGAGAAGAACCAGAAGGCGACTCTAGACAGCTCTCACTTTTTGGATGCTCTGTCTGGGAAATGCCGTCACCCAAAGCCAACACCCTAGTTTTCTCTGCTCCTCTTTCTGAAGAGGAGAGAGGACAGGGTTCCTGGCTCTTTTGAGAACATGGCCAGATTTTTCTTCTCATTTTACAGATGTGTTGGTAGAGGCAAGGATATGGAGCAGAGGAAAGATAATTTAGTATCTTCTCTATGGCTTAACAGATGTCAACTATTATCAACCTGTGGATTTCTCCTAGCAAGTCTTGAGAGCACTGGAATGACAGAGACTCTGTGGGGACAGAGGAAGACATTCAGCTTTCAGGATCATTTCTCTCCTCTTCTACAAATGGCTCTATCACTACAGATAGACCCTGGCTAATGCTTCAGATTACAATATTTTTGGCTTCATAATGGCGTGAAAATGATATCACTCAATAGGAATTGAATTTGGATATTTTTTCTCAGACTGGCAGGATGTGGCCCAGTGTCTTAGGGGACGCTGGGAAATGGCAATGGGCTGAAGCTTGCAGTTCAACCACAGCCACTGCTCTGCGCGAAAAATTTTGGGTATTAAATGCATATTTGGCTGAATAGTATTTTCAATTTATAATGAATTTTATCGAGACGTAGCCCTACCCTAAGTCAAAGAGTGCTTATATTCTCAGCTCATGAGGTCTTAGCAAGATTAAAAAGGTCAATGTGTACGAAACAGTTAGAATACTGCTTCTCACATGCTAAATAAATATTAGTTGAGCTATTATTAGTATTAAAAAATGATTTTCCTTCAAATAAGACCAAAGAAGTTCAAGAATGAGTTCATGGTGAAGTGGCTGTTTCTGGAACTTTGTAAATAATAATAATAAAAAAGCCTGGAGTTATCTCTTCCTTTCTAATCTTTTTTGGCAGTCTTAAGAACTGAGCCGAGGGTCTTGCTCAAACCATACAAGTGTGCTGCCACTGGACTATGTCCCTAGGTCTTTTCCTCATCTATGATTTTTGAGACAAGGACTCATTAAATTGCTCACTCTGGCCTTGAACTAAATATATAGCCCAGGCAGGCTTTGAAGTTATGGTGGCCCCTGCCCCTGGGTAAGGTTATGACAGCTATTTTAGCTAAAATCTTTTCATAAAATGTTTTTTTTTTCCCCATTAGAAAGTGTCATGGTCCTTTTAAGAAGTAATAATGTGATGGAACGGATCCTCAGCCTCTTCTCTGGTCACATGCGTTGTCCACTTGCTCTTTGACAGTCTGTCTTCTGCAGCCCTTTAGCTCATGTGCCGCCCGGCAGGGTCCGGTGTGCCCTGCATTCCCTAACTCTCTGTCCTGTTCTTCTCTCAGTGGCCCTGGCTTCTTATTCTCTGTGTCATAGTGGTCCTGTTCTCCCTTCCAATTCATTATCCAACTTAAGGGATTGCTTCAGGTCTCAGGGTCCATCTGGATCTCTTTCTCTCTCTCTCTCTTTTCTTTTTTTGGGGGGGGGCTGGTCCCTATCTGTCAGCCAGGGGTGTCTGTCAGCCAGGGGCGGTCCTAAGAGGCGACCATGTAGGGAGGACAACTTACTCCTTTTCACCAGTCAGCTTGGCGATATATTTGACCTGCTCTCGAAGCTTGTTTCCAAGTTTCTCATTGGCAATCCTGTAATAAGACACACGGGGGAAAGAATGGCTCTTCCCTAGATGAGCTAGAAGAACCTCACTGATGGGCCTGGATCTTCCCAGCAGGGTTTCTGCTGGTTCCTTGCCTCCCCCAGCACCTTGTCCCTAGAGGGAGAGCTTTGTGAGTCCTTGACAAATCACAAAGGGAATGGGTTCAAGGGATCCTCGTGAGCCTGGATCCCGTTGGGAAGAGGAAGCTTGCATCCTGGGAGGTGTGCCTTGCATCCGCTGATACTCTGTTGCTGTGTTGCAGGCTTTGCAAACCCGCCTGAAGGGGTGAGACCCCCATCCCCGCTCTGTCTGATGGCCAACCCTTGTGTGCAGGCATGTGTGATTGGTTCCTGCGGTCCTCAGCTTGGCCCGGCCGTGGGACCTGCCGCGCTACTTTTGTCTCAGGCACTTACTTCTGCTCCTTTGCCCACTGCTCCATGTTGCACATAATCTGATCACTGTCCTGGTGGATCCTACAGGTGTCTTTGGTTGTCGGCCTCGGGGACAGGCAGCATGGCTTTGCATGGGACAAGGGAATGGGACTGTAAGGGATGGGGGTGCGGATGGCTACCCTGCTCCCCCAGTCTGGATTTTTCTTTCCGAGAAAACAACAACAACAACAACAACAAAACCCCAAAACAGCCCAACCCTGCCCAACCTGGGGGCCAGGGCAGCCACACTCGAGAGCTGCATTCTTCACCGTGGTGATGCCACTGAGGAGGCACCAGTCCTGGCAGACACAGTAGACCTGTCCATTTACAGCAATGGTTCTCAGGCTAATGGCAGTGAAGCGACTTGTTCTAAAACAATGGTGTGCTGAGCTGCTGTCACAACAGATGGGGGAAGAGAACCAGGGAGAAGAGGTGCTTCTTTTTCATTTAAACAAGGGCCCTGTGGCCACTCTAAGATGTCCTAGGACTCCTGCCATGAATGGTACTGCTCTGGCTTTTGGATATGGGCCATATCTAGAAGGCCACTTAACCAGTTGGGCGGCAAAACCTGACAGGACGGGAACTGGGGGTTTGTGAGTGTTAACTGTTGTCCTTTGCTGAGACAGGGTCTTGGTCGATATCTCTCTATAACACAAAACCACAGGAGAACGGGTAGCAGCCTGGAATAAAGTTGCAGAATCCAAACAGGGCCCACCTCCTTCTCATCCGCAAGGAGGTTCTCTTTCAGGGTGGCCATTTCCTCCTGGAATTCCCGAAGCTGCGTCTCCTTCGCCGCCAGCATCTTGAGGTCATTCTGGTGCTGCTTCTGCCACTGCAGCACCTGGCAGCTCATCTCCTCCAGTTTCTTGTCAAAGTTGTGCACCTGCTCAGGAGTGCAAAGTGATGGGGGTGGGCAGGGGTGGGCAGGGGCAGGGACCAGACGAGGCGACCTCTCCACCTGGGAAGATTGGCTTGGGAAGATGCCTTTTATTTTCAGTGACCAGCAGAGGGCACCCCTGCTCTGATCTTCCTGCCTGCCTGGCATTCCAGAAGGTGGGGTGAACCCAGGAGCCAAAGAGTATGGCTGAGTGCTAAATAGTTCTGCATGCAAAAGGTGACCTTGTGAACCTCTAAGAGGAAGGCAGCCCAAGTGCCCCACCGGCCCCTCCTCACCTCTAGCTCACTCTGCTGGTGGAAGCCCTGCAATTTTTTTAACTCCACGTTGAGCTTTCTCATCCTTTCCTCGTAAGCTATGATTTCATTTTCCAGCTGAGCTTTCTTCTCTTGGGTCTGTTGCAGGATGTGCTGCAGGTTCTTTGTCTCAGAGGTGGCATGAGTGAGCTTCCGGCAAAGATAGAGTGGATTAGAGTGGTCACCAGGGCCCCTGGCCCTCTGAGCTGAATCTTTAGTACAGAAGGCTCCAGGCTTTCTCTGTCCTCTGGCCACGGTCAGCTTGCCAGTGTTAAAGAGGGGTGGGGAAGGACAGTGCTTGGCTTTCTGAATGTCCCTCCCTGGTTTTTATCCTCCTCCATCTGTTTCCTTTCTTTCTACTCAGATCCACTGATTTGTAGGCATGATCCCCAGAGATTGGGAAAGACCCTGTCCCCGAATCACCCGTGAGTAGAAAGACCGTCTCTACCACCCCACGACAAACGCAACATATAAACTAAGAGAATGCAGGCTTTCGTTGGGCAGGACAGCCCTGTCCAGGCAAGAGTCGAAAAGCAATGAGGAGTGTCAGTGGTTGGCTCCTGCTCACTCAGAGCTCCTGAACTTCTCCCTTGGTGGAGAACCAGCGTGACCTCACCTTCTCCAGAGCTTGTGTCAGGTCATCTTGGCAGATGCCCGACTTGTGTACGGCTTCTTCGTAGGCTTCCTTACTGACCATGGTCTGCATTAACTTCCTCTCTTTCTGTAGAGCTGAGTCGAGCTTCGTCTGCAGACTCATGATGGAGTCTTTCTGGCGGGCTATCTTTAGGGAACAAGGACACACTATCAAGGCTGTCCCTGGCCACAGATGTCTGACTGCAGGAGAGAGACGAGAGTTGGGTTCTCTGCCATAAACTGCTGAAGACTGGCGTTCACGCTCGCATCTTGTCATCTCCCTGTCATGGAACACAGAGCCCTTTCCAAGCTTCCCTGCATCTCTCTAGCCACGCCACCCGTTATGGCTACCATATCTCCAATAATAAGCAGCACCGGGACATGCTAAGTACACGGGGTATGTGTCACAGATACAAAGACGTCGATCTGGTCTGGGGAGACAGCTCGGACTGCACAGTGCTTGTGAGGAGTTAAGTTAGTTTTCTCGAACCGCTTTAAAAAAAGATGGGTCTTGAGATTGCTGGAGAGATTGCTTACTGAGGACCCGAGTTCAATTCCTGGTACTCACATGGTGACTTACAAACATCTGTAACTCCAGTCCTGGGGGATCTGAGGCCTTCTCTGGCCTCCACAGGCATTGTGTTCTACCCAGACATACATGTAGACAAATCACACACACTCATAAAATTTAAAAAAAAAAGATGCTGGTTATGGCAGTATGCTCTTATAACTAATCCCAGTGCTGGGGAGGTTGAGACAGGAGGATCCCTGGGATTCGCGGGCCAAGAAGACTAGCCTATCTGGTGATTTCTAGGCCACCAAGAAACCCTGTCCCAAAACAAGAAAGACTGATGACACACGAAATTGACACCGTAAGTTGTCCTCTGGTCTCCACTTGCACACATACACATGTTCACAGATACCCGTGAGCGCCTGCACACACACAGATCTAGACTCCAACACCAAGCTAATAGTGATGATAGAGCATTTTAGTTGTATGCATTTTAGTCGTCTCTACGTCCTTGCTGGACCTTAGAGCACAACACAAAGTAGCCACACAACAGTCATATAATAAACCTTCAATTTTTTAGTTGAATGGAAAGTTATACTGTCTATTTGGAGATTCAAATATTGTATGGTATAAGGGGGCCCAACGAACACAACTTTGACCGAACTGTATTTAAAACAATCCTACATTTTACACTTGGCAATGAGTACACCGGAGTGGTTAAAGGCAGTCGAGATGTTGAATCACACAATCTGGGTTTAGGTCCAGATCCCATCACTTATTTCTCAGGTCCTCGGTCCTTCCTTCACAGCCTGAGAACCTTTCAGCGATTTCATACAGTGTTTGCGAAGAACAACCGGGACGACGCACGTAAAAAGGCTTTGTAGCCTATCTGTGACCACACGGGCGTGAATTATTATGAACAAAGTGAGTCACCTCCTTGTAGACTTTAAGTCCGGGACAGAGAGCTGTGTTTCTAAGTCGGGAAGCAGAAGGGAAACCTTAAGGATGTGTAGACCCTACGTTATCCTTGCTTCCTGGCTTTGTCCCATGGCTGGCCCGTCCGTGATCTTCCCTAGGGCCACCCTAATCTGGTCATCCTCCTAAACGGCTGCCTCAATGCTACACTCACCTCTCCCCCAACACATTAGTCAGAGTTCCATATGTTTTGTCCCTCTGAGGAAATTCTACCAATAGATTTTCATTGCTTTTAAAATACAACTCAAAATTTCTTAACAGAGGCCACGAGGTCCGTTTCTACTTATCTTTCCAGTCTTGTCGTACACCTGTCTCTCTTATCAGTACTTTCTAGTTGCACCGGCCTTATTTCATTTCTTAGATTATTCCAAGCATGTAAAAAAGAGACACACACAAGCAGGACTCAAACTAGAAACACAACGATGAGCCAAAATTCTGATTACTTTTTACCATAGTATTGAGTTAAGGAGAAAAGATGATATTATATATTCTGCTGTGGGAAAGCATCACTGTGTGTGCTGGAAAAAAGGGAGGGCGTTAGAGCTGGATGATCCAGGTTCAAACACTGCTTCATCCCATCACTTACTAATTAGTGGCCCTGGGATTCAGCTTTTCCTTCCTTTGCAAATGGGGGCTCACAGTGGTATATACGTTGTTGAGAGCGAAGCGGATGGAAGGTATGTAAAGAGAATGGCTGAGTTCCAGTGTAGTTCCTAGACCATGTCACAGCCCCGTGACTTTCTTCTGCATATTTAAACTGGAGCTGGAATGCAGTGTTCCTCTTTTTTTTGGTGGGGGCAGGGTTCCCCAAGTATGGTTACTTAAGGAAGAACTCCCCCGCCCCCCATCAGATACCAGGGTCTGTAGCAACCTGCCACCCATTAAAAGACAGAGATGAGCTGCCAGGGCCTCAGCAGGTATAGGCAGCCAAGCCGGGGAGAGGACAAATGCCAAGTCGGGTTGGGGGAGGCATGGCCCCTTCTTTGGGGTTGCTCTCTGCTCACCTCTGCGTTGAGCTCTTGGATGACCCTGTTGCAGTTGCTGACTTTGTTGGTAGCGCTTTCCAGGTGTGAGGAGCAGCTGTTGAGCTCCGTCTGCAGGTTCTCTTTCTCCTCCTCCAGCTTCCTCAGGTGCTCCTTCGCCTGAGAGTAAACAGCAAAGACCACCCCCGGGCCCCCCGAGAGGGGTTACTCTGAGACTTCTTCCCCCCACTGCCATCCCTTTGGTCCTCCTCTGCCCTGGTTGTTCTGGGCTCTCATCCTCTGCTGAGCTTCCTGGCTGTCTGCCCACCCTCTCAGCCCCCAATTCACAGCCCAGTCTTCCCAGGGTCTCCCTCTCTCTCTCACCGTCTTCTCCCTCTTTTTCGCTTCCTGTTGCAAAGCCTCGATTTCTGCTTCCAGCAACTTTTCCTGATCTTTGCTCTTTTTCAGCTGCTCCCGTTTCTCCTCCAGTAATATTTTAACCTCCAGAAGTTCCTCTTCTAGCTTGTTTCTGGCATTTGTTAGCTCCCTTTGCTGAAGGGAGGGGTGGAGGAAGAGTAGGCTGGAAGACAGTTCTATACTATTATATTTGGGAAAAAAAATCCAGGGAAGGGTGGAAACAACTTTGAGGGTGACTTCTCAGCTCTCCCTCCCTGTGTATGAGGTGGGAACATTCGCTTTAATGTTTTGAGACACCTTTCTTTGTTTAGCTAAACCAGTTTATGGGTCTGGTTTCTATAATGCAGACCTTCTTGCCCACTTAACTAACTCTTTACACAAAAACCTCTTTGAATAAAGTGAATCTCAGAAGAGCACAAAAGGATCAGGGATCAAAGACTTTCAATTGATGGACAAGGACAGTCATCAGAAGAAGAGCAGTGGAAATAGGTCAGTGGAGGTTGAGCATTTACTACAAACAAAGGAATGAATGAACCAATTGTGTTGGTTTGAATGAGAACATCCCTCATCGGCTCCTACGTGAGGAGCCTGGTCCCCAGTTGTGGGCAATGTTTGGGTTAGGTGTTAGGCTATGTGGCCTTGCTGGAAGAAGTATGTCATTGGGGATGGGCTTTGGGAATGTAAGGCCTTGTCCTGTCCCTGCTTTGTGCTCGTGGTTCAGGTTGAGACCTCAAAGCACCCTGCTGCAGCCTTTCCCACCCCTGTCCTGAGGGACTGGAATGCTCTGCAGTGTAAGCCCAAATAAACTTTTTCTTCTCCGAATTTCCTTGGCTAGGCTGTTTTGTTACAGCAGCAGAAAAGCAACCAATACAACACCCCAATCAGTCCTCTGGTTACGTTGATGTCTAAGCATAATCCTTGAAAATGCTCGCTGTTAGTCCTGAATGGCTGGTGAAACAGTTTAACACAAATTCTGGGAAGTTAGTGGAGACTGAGCCACTTAGCCTCAGGCAGGGCAGGTGCTGGAGGTGGCTGCCTGCCTCTCTCTTACCTTTTGATCGTTACATTTGGCTTCATCAAGCAACTGGTTTCTTTTCCTCTCATCTTCATTCAGGGTGTTCTGAAGCATCAGCTTTTCCTTGTCTGAAACTGAAAGCTTCCTCTGGCTTTCACAGAGTTCTGAGGCCAGCTCCTCGAGCCGCTTCCTATAATGAGGTGACCACAGCGGGAGCTTCAGGGCCTGTGTTGATGGATTGTGGCGATGGTCCCACCCTAGGTCCTGACATGTCACTATCTTACTGCTGAGCAGCTGCCAACCTGTGGGCTGGGGCTGGGGCTGGGGTACCTGTTTTCTGCTTGGTCCTCTTCATGCGCCTTGTGCTCCTTCTTCAGCTTCTGCACCTGACTCTGCAGCTCTTCAATGACATCTGTCTTCTCCTTATCCAGGAGAAGGAAATTCTCAATTTTCCGATGAGCGTCCTGAAGGTTGTTTTTGGCCAGCTGTGCTTCGTCCTTACACTGGTTTAGCTTCTGATCTGAAGCAGCCAAGGAAGGCTCCATGTGAGAGGGAGCACGTAGAAGGCTCAGTCAGGACTCGCTAAAGACTAAGTCTTTTATTCTGTGACATACTTCAGTTGCCAACCTATCCTCACCTCTCCTGATGCCATCAGGAGTTCTGCTAAATTGTCTGTCTTCAACCACCCTTTGGCCATGGATCCCTTCCTGATTAAAATTAAACAAATTCAGAAAAACTGTTCAGCATCTCCTGTGTGACTCCTTCTGTCATTAGGGACAAATCCCAGGGCTCAAGGGGTTTAATCTGGTGAGCACTATTGTTGGCTGTCCATCATAAGGAACACTGAAATTTATTGACTTATTTTTTGGGTGCTGGGGACCCAAACAGTCTAGCACCAAGCTACCTCCTAGCCCAAGAACTCTGCAGTGTTAAAACTCACACTGCCCACAGACGCAGCTGTGACAGCTGTGAATGGACTTGTGATGAGGGAGGAAGATGACACAGCCTTAGAAGGAGGGGATTGTGGGAACAAATTTGCGGTGAAGGGAATGTGGAGAGAGTGCGTGGGTGAAGGATGACTAGCTGAGCTGGGATGGAAACTGGGAGGGATGGTAGGCTGCAGCTGAGCAAGAAGGTGGATCAGAGAGGGATCAGGAGATTAACAGCAGGAGAGGAATGTTTACACTTGACACTGTACTCGGAGATCTATGTAAGGGAAAGAGCACATTAGGAAAATCACAGTGCCCGCTGGGCACGGTGGTGTATTTTGGAGGCAGAGGCAGGAAGAGCTCCACAGGACCAACCTGGTCTACATAAGGAATTCCAGACCAGTCAAAGCTACATAGTGTGACTCTGCCTCAAATAAACACAAACACACAAACACAAACAAACACAAACAGACAAACAGACAGACAAACAAACAAACAAACAAACAGGAATGCATTCAATTAGAGAAGACTTCCATCAATATCCTTTCAGTTTCCTGCCTCCACTGGGGGAAGAGGTCCTGCTGAGTTGTCACTGGTATATATATATATTTTTTGTAGTGTGTTTCCTTCACTCTACAGCTATTCTTCTTTAAACACAATTCTCCCATTCCTTCCTTGAAGTGTCCTGTTCTGGTCTACCAGAAGAAAGAAGTAGCAATTATACATTTTTGTAAAAGGGAGACAGGGAGATTTAAAAAACAAACAAACAACAAAAAAACATGGATGAGATTATTTCCCAGTTTGGAAAAGCTGAGAGGAGGAAATGGGATGCTATCCTTCCATGGCAGGACTGATCAGAGCTGCAAAGTTTCTGAGGAGGAAGCTGGTTAAAGAATGGATATAGAACCAGATAGGGCCCAGGAAGCACCTTCAGGGAGGGAGGTCTCTGGTCAGAGCCTGGAGAAAAGGGAACACTCGTGAGGTCTTGGTGGGACTGAGGGCTGAGTGTGGGTGGCTAATGTCAGGACAGAGCTGGAGAGAGAGGAGTTGAGACGGATCTTTTTATGTCGAGAGCAGATTCACCAAGCATTTCCTGTCCTGTAGAGTGGCTCACACATTGGGTGTTTAATGAGCTCAGCAGTATGACTATCAATCAAGTTAAGAACACTGTCATTTTGCCAGGCAAACCCCTGCACTGGGAATCCCAGCACTGGGAACCCCTGTAATCCCAGCACTCAGGGAAGCAGAGGCAGGTGGACCCCTGCGAGTTCGAGGCCAGCCTGATCTTCAAAGCGAGTTCCAGGACAGCCAGGGCTGTTACACAGTGAAACCCTGACTTGAAAAAAACAAAAACAAAAACAAAACAGCAACAGCCAAACCAAACCAAACCAAACCAAACCAAACCAAACCAAACCAAACCAAACCAAACCAAACCAAACTAAACCAAAACCAAAGACATCGTAATCATCCTGAAGAAACCTTGTACCCAAGGCAAGAAGAGGTTGGTGAGTAGAGAGAGCAGTCTCTTCAGAGAGGTGAGTACTAGGTCCCCAGCACATGCTACAGAGCAGAGCATATTTGAAAGTGAAGAGGGGGAGGTGGGATCGAAAACCAGGGAGGGAGAAACGAAACTGTGTGGTGAAGGGCCTGGAGAAGACAGAGCCAAAATGTTACATCAGGAAGGAAATGCGCGAGCCTATCGTCTCTGCTGCCAACTGGACTGGGGCATTCATTCATCGAAGGTGGCTGAGGGCAGGATAGGAGCAGGAGGACTGTAAATTTAGAGGCCAGAGTTCAGGACGGTTAAGGGAACTTCCGGGATATCGATACGAGATGAAGCCATGGCAGCCATTTGGAGAGACGGGGCTGGAAGTGTGGTGGGGCAGTGCGGGCCTGGGTCTCACCTGCCACCTTCAGCTGCTCCTTGGTCTCCTCAAGACACTCCTTCAGCTTCTGGGCCTCACAGTCCACTTTGCATGTCTTTGGTGTCGTCCCCTGGAGCTGGGTTTGGAGGTCTTTTATAATGTGCCGTAGCCTCTCCTGCTCCATCTCTTTCTCCATGAGGGTGTTCTGTGCTGCTGCCAGTTTCTTCTCCAGCTCGTGTAGTCTCTCATCTTTGTCTTGGAGCAACTGATGGTATCAAAGAAGGGTGCTGAGGGAGGCCTGAGCACTGGCGATTGGGCCAGTTGGAGGACTGTATGGCGTCCTCATGCTAGCCACTAGCATGCCATTGCCAGTATATCCCAAGAACCTTCTACCTGTGCTCCCTGCCACCATTTTGGGTCCCCTCGGGCTACTCTCAGTGCAGTAGCCCGAGGGGACCTTTCAGATTGTAAGCCAGAGCTGCCTGAGTTCAAAACCCTCTGCAGGCTTTGGCCTTACTTAGAAAAAGGCCCAAGTCTTTACACCCATGTTCTAGGAGGCGCCTGACCTGGTTCTACCTAGGCTGCCTGTCTGGCTTGGCGTCCAGGAACTCCAACCTGTCTCAGCTTCAGCTAGCCTCCCGCACCCGGAGGGTCCCTGTGCTTGCCGAGCCCTCTGCCTGGACTGTTCTTCCTTAAGATCCCTGCCTTCAGCTCTCTCTCCGTGTTAGCCATTATAGCATGGGACCAACCTGGCAGTTCTGCCACTGCATTCAAATCTCTGCCCAGTGTCACCTCCTCAGAGAGGCCCTCCATCACAACTCAGTAAAACAGCCACCAAAGCCGTTTCAGAAATTTATCAGGCTCTGCCACCACTCTGTCAAGATCACACATTAACTTTGTTACTCTCTTTGAACCCATGGCCTGGTATCCATCACAAGGACGGGGCCGTTTTCATGTTTGTGGCACGAGTCTCAGTGCACGGAACGGTGTTTGGCATACCCTAGGCACTCAAGAGTGCCGGATGAATGCTGAAGGCATTTCTAGACTTCTTGCTTTTTTTTTTTTTCCTCCACTTTTCTAGATGCTTCTATTCTGACAGCCTTATTTTAACACAAGAGGTTTTAATGACTGGAAACCAACTGTATTACTTTTAGTAGCGCTGAGGAATGTACAAGGTTCGGATTGTGATGACCAGCAGTGCTAGCAATGGTTTCACATTCTTCCTGTTCTTGGCTCTGGTTCTAGGTTTTCCCAGGAACAAGGTTATGATAGGGACTATAGACCTCGTAGGCTACAGGATGGCTGCACTAACATTTCGCACTCTCTGGTTTAGACATTCAAAAGATATTTGCAAGAGAGTGTGTGTGTTTGAGACAGGGAATCATCATGGAGCCTAGGCTGGTTCTGACCTCAGAACCTTCCTTCCCCAGCTTCCCAAGTGCTGGGATTACAGGCATGCTCCACCGTGTCCAGCTTTATACCCAGCTCTCTTGTTATTAGAAACAAGTGGGTGTTATTGGAGAGGACTGTGAGACTTCCACAGTAGACAGCAGGCGGAGAAGCTTCTGCCCAAGGCCTGGCTTCACCCTTGCCCCGTTGGCTGTTCCCACCAGGACCCAGAGGGTGCTAGCTCACCTGGTCCTTCTTCAGGGCCAGCTTCTGTGTCTCTGTGCACTGCTGCTGCAGGTCCAGCAGGCTTTGATACAGGATGGCGACATCCGTGTCCTTCTTCTCAACATGGGCTGCTGCCTCCTCCCGCAGTGTGTGTAGTTCCAGCTCCAGCTTCATCATGTCTGGTTTGGGCAGGACAACACACCTCACCCATCGGAGGCCGGGTGCCCTCCCACTCCCCGGCCGTGGCCCACAGTCCCGTTTTACCCTGCATGATGTTTTTCTTCTGGTCTGACACAGCTTCCAGCTCCAGGCTCAGGCCCTTCACAAGGTTCTGGTACTCCTCAATGTGCAGGCACTGGCTGTCTTTCTGTTCCTGCAGGTGCTTCAGAAGCTAAGCGTTGGATGGAAGCAGAGAAGGGTGAGAACCAAGGAACCAACCTCCTTCCCTCCCAACCTTTCTCCACCTCTCCCTTCCTTTTCTACTTATTCAGTGTACTATGTAAGTGCGTACAGGCAGGAGTTTGCACGTGTGGTGTGTGTGCGTGTGCGCCAGAGGTTGATTTCGGGTGTCTTCCTCAACCATTCTCCCACCTTATGTTTTTTTGAGACAGGATCTCTCACTGACTCTCACCTACTTGGCTAGTCTGGTTCCCAGGATCTGTCTCTGCTTCTCCAGCTCTGGGATCAGACATTGTAACTCCATGTGAGTGCTGGGCTACAAATTCAAGGGCCCATGTTTGCATAGCAAGCATTTTACTGACTCAGCCACCTCCGTAACCCTGGGAAAGGTGCTTTCTTAAAGGCAAAATGTCCTGGAGACAGACAGCACAGAAGAGGGTACCAATTGGCCAGTGAGGGTAGGAGGAAAGACTGCTAGTGGTTTGAGATGGTCAGGGCCAATGACGATCAACCTTGTGAATATACCAACACCCACTGGTGAAATTTGTGGTTTATCAATTACATCTCAATCTGACAGATGTTTTGAAAGAAATAGTTTTAAGAGGAAATGAAAGGCTTCTCATGTTCGAATAGAATGTCCTCCCCGCAACAATATCTAATGGAGTTTTTAGCGAGGAACCATCCCAGGTACTGGTAAGAGGGCCCAGTTAAATATGCCTGGCTGACCCCCATGACAGGCCTCATTCTTTTACTAAGGCAGAGTAGGCCCAAGTTTCCATTTCTCAGAAATGGGAATTCCAGTCACAAGAATGACCACAAAGAATGCAGGACATCTGGCCAGAGAGAACTAAGGTGGCTCAGTGCTGGTTTTGCACGCCCCCAACATATGACTGACTCCTGACCTGGTTCAAACATATCCCCCCAAACCTCCTGACCTGGCTCAATCCTATCCCCCCAAAACACCCGTACCCAAGCTCCTAACCTACACCAATCAGAATAAAGATGACCTAACTATCTTTGGAAACTCTCTAACTGGCTTTATATTGGCACTGTGACCCCATCCAGGGGCTGCCATTTTGCCTGAATGGTGATGATTACATGTTGGATTTCTGCAGAATAGAACGATCTTTGGTGTCTGCATACTCTCGAGTTCTTCACCGAGCTCCAGACCTTAACACTAGGGGCAGTGGTGCGCAGACCACAGACACAAATCCTTGTGAAGCTGGTCATCAGCAGAGTGAGACCCTGATAACGATAATGACTCCAGAAGTGGCCAGAGGTTGGTGAGGCTATGAAAGGCACATCAGAGCAAAGTGAACATGGAAGGAGAGGACACAGGCTGTGCCGGGCAGAGTGTGCGCTGCTATTGTAAGTAGGATGGTGGGTTGACCTCACTGGGAGGGACCCCTGTATAGACTTACTGGAGAAGGGTTGGGGAAGGCATGCTGAATATCTATGGGAGAGGTTTTTTTTTAAAGATTTATTTATTATTTATATAGTATTCTGCCTGCATGTCAGAAGAGGGCATCCTATCTCATTACAGATGGTTATGAGCTGCCATGTAGTTGCTCAGAATTGAATATAGAGCCGTTGGAAGAACAGCCAGTGCTCTTAACCTCTGAGCCATCTCTCCAGCCCCTTCTATGGGAGAGCCTTGACACAGAGAGAGATTGACTACTGGCCATGGACAAGGAACAACACAGAGGCTCTGTGTTGAACAACACAGGGGCCAGAACAGGAAAAGGGAGGGGAGAGTGGGAGCAGATGAAGAACTCTGGCTCATCCGGTTGCGTCAGGCTCAGAGTTTGTTCAAATACTTCCTTCAACTCTGAAGAAAGCAGTGTCTTCCCAGTGCCGAGGAAGCAGGGCACAGGGTTGAGGCACAGAGATGAACTGCCTGGCATCCAGGGTGCCGAGGGATTTTCGATTTTGAAGTCAGCAGGAAGGAGAGCTGCAGCATAAAGACAGAGGTGACAGCTGGAGAAATGCAGGACAGTCTCAGTGACCCTGTGTGGGCACTGTGAGGGTTCAAAGGCTCACTGCAGCCTCTGCCAACCGTGGGAAGGGGAGGTTTCTGAGAGAAGCTGATTTTGTGGGCAGCACATCTTGACAGGTGAAAACTTTGGGTAGGAATATGAAATTGTGGGAGACAGGCTGTGATGGCCAATCTTTACGTCAGTGTGACAAGACTTACAAACCTGGGTATGTTTATGAGAGTCAGAAATGTTCAGCTTAGATGGAAGACCCACTGTGAATGTTGGGCAGGGGTCCTGGTCTAAATGAAAAGGAGAAAGTGAGCTGAGGACCAGCATTCTTCTCTCTCTGCTTCCTGACTATGGATTCAAGTGTGACCAAGCCGTGCCTTGTTCCTGCCACAATAACTTCATTGCTGTGAGGATACATGGTTGTATCCTCAAACTGTGAGACAAAATAAACCTTCCTCCCTTAAGGTAGGTCTTCCCAGGCATTTGGTCACTGTCATGAGAAAGTAGCTATTGATGAGATGTTATTGTGTAACTGTTTCCTCCAGGATCGAAACATTTCATCCTGCAGGGATGCAAGACGTTTCTTAAGACAGAAGGTAAACAATTCAAAATAGCTGCAGGAAGTCCCTGAAACTGACCAGATTCACTAGGCCCCTCGTTGTCAGCTGAGAGTCTTAGACAAGACTTTTAGATAAGCCAACCTGCAAAGAAGACCCCGAGGCTAGGCCTGGAAGAAGCAGAAGCCTGCCAAGTTATCTGGAGGATGGTTAGACCAAATGAGTCACCTGGAAAGGACACTATCCAACCTGTTGAGCTGCTTACAGGCTGTGCAGCGTGCTCAGGTACCCAGCTTTTGTGAGTTGTTACCCATACTGGGGTAGGCTTTGATGGTGCATCTATCTTTGAGTTATTTATGCTCCAGTAAATAACCCCTCACCCATATTCTTGTAAGTAACCTCAATAAAACTCATCTGTTTACTAAGTTGGACTTTGGTAGTGTCTGTGTTTTTTCGTCATTGTTTCCCTACCTGGGGTTGACCTTCAAAGTTCCAAGGATGCCCTTCAGAGTTCAGTTTTCATGCCACAGTCATCTGACTTTCTGGAATTGGAAAGTCTTGAAGAGTCCACTAGAGGCCATCTTGGAGAACTTGTGTGTTGTTTCCTTTCTTAGCTCCTTCTCGCTCCTATAGCTTACCCCATCTCTACCCAGGCCCATGCAGGCTTGCGTTAACTCTCTACAGTATGTTATCCATGCTGGTTAACCTGAGGTTAACATGGACCTCATGTTTAAGCATGATAGACTTAAGAGCTCGCCTATGGGAGCTATGATTTTTGACTACTGGTTCATCAAAGCTTGCTGTTTGTTGATATGGCTTAACTGCTTGTTTAATATAGAATCAACTTGTGATACTGCTTTAAAAATATTTCACATGTCTGCATGTGATTTTGTGTGTCGGTAAGTGCTTGTGTGTGCCAGAGCTAGTGCCTGTGGAGGTTATAGTTCTGTATCTGAAGGTACTGGAGGTTACTGGAGGTATTGAACCATCTGATGTGGGTGCTGAGAACTCAACTTGGGTCCTTTGCAACTTGAGTGCTCCTAACTGCTGAGTCATTTCTTTAGGCCAAGTTTTCATGCTGCTTTGAAGTTACAGAAATCAGAATTGGAAAGAAAAAGACTAATGAGTTTGTACTGATAATTTTTTCCATATTTTTTTTTCAACTCTAGGCAGATTCTAGAAGTCTGTAACGTCTTTCTGAGTCTGTCAAGCCGACAGGAGTACTGTCTCGCTTGGATGTGACTTGAGAAGTGGATTTAAGAGGTGTGTGAATTTCACAATCTACCTGACGTCGTCACGGTCTCTGGGGTCGGGTACATTGTGCCCAGTTTCAGTTTGGCAAGGCTGACCAAGGTTACATACGTGCAGAACACTTGCAAACTACAGCATCAAAAACAAACAAACAAACAAACAAACAAACAAACAAACAGAACAACCAGGGAAAACCGGAAGCGATGTCCCTCCATCTGCTCCCGCAGAGAAGCAAAGGAGCCCCACCTTTTTGATGTCATCACACTCATCCGAGGAGGCAGAGAGATCCCTGTGGGTGGCCGTGTAGGAAGTGAAGTCGGCTTGTAATTTTACCAGAGTCTCCTCACGCTCCAGAACCTGTAACAGAACACGGCCGGTCAGGGAAACACACATGCTTTCCTGGCCCTGTGTTTGCGGTGGGTTCGTCTCTGCAGCATAGACTTGTGGTAGGGTTATGGAATTCACGGTGCCATCCTGTAGGATGGAAAAGGAGTTGTGCTCTCAGTCTTATGTCGGGCAGAGTGCTTTGCCTCATGTCTATCAGTGGCCTCATTTTGGACCCTTTCTGAGATCCCATGCTTTATGAAGCAGGCTTTGGTAGGCTATGGGGGAAAGTGCCTCATCTTTCAGAGGCCACAGTCAGGGTTTTCTTGCTAAGGAAGTTTCTTGTGGAGTGGGTGAAAGTATGGATACTTTAAAGATTGTGAAGAACTTGCAATTTGTGTTTGCTGTCCCTCTCTCTCTCTCTGGTTTTTTTCAAGACAGGGTTTCTCTGTGTAGCTTTGGCTGTCCTGGACTCGCTTTGTAGACCAGTCTGTCTTTGAACTCACAGAATATTGGATTCATTAGAATATTGAACATGATGAGGACACACACGCCACAGAAAATACGGGCAAGAGGTGGGAGCAAATTTACACGGTATTTGAGGAGTCTCGGTTAAAGAGGTTAGCTTAGGCGGCTCCCTCTCTTCCTTTCTTCCGGCTCTAGGGGGAGTCTGGTAGGACAGTGTTCTAAAGTCAGGCGCCTACCAAAGCGTTGCTGTAGGCCAGTTTATTCCGGAGCTCCTGGATGAGGTCATCCTGCTCGGAAACCTTTTGCCAGACTTGAGACAGCCGCTTCAGGGTCTCCTGGTGCTCCCGAGCCGTGCAGGGAGACGTGTAGCAGCCCACCTTCGGATGGTCGCCCTTGTTCTCGGGCTCCTGGGACATTGTGAGACAACGAATTGGTTTTGTTTGGAAGTCGTGAGTCAACTCCCGGGTCCTACTAGACTCGTGTTCTAAAAGCATGGGTTCGCCTCCGGTTAGCACGGCGTCCTCAACAAAAGGAAAAAAAAAATGCCAGCCAGAGAGGGGACTCAAGCTGAAAGTCCCCGACAGTTCTCAAGGCCGGACGTTCTGTGTCTTCTGTGGCTCGCGTCCCTCCCCCCGACCCTGTGACACCCTGTGTTGCCAGTGCTTTTCTTAGCTGTGAAGTGATGTTCTAGGCATATCTGTGTGCACATCTGGACAGTTACGTAAGTTACAGCTGAGGCTGCCACTGCATGCTGTCGTGAGGGCTGTCCTCACCTGACAATTTGTTGAGGATATTTTCCATGCTGTTGTCTGTAGATCTGTTGTATTCTCTCTCTCTGTATGCATGCACACACATGCCCGTGTGTGCTCACGTGTGTAGAGGCCAGAGGTCACTAGTGCGTGCCGTCCTCTATCCGTCTCTGGTTTATCTTTTGAGACAGAATTTCCTACTAAACCTGCCACTCACTGATCTGGCTGGACTGGCTGGCCGGCAAGCCCTATGGATTCTTCGGTCTCTTATCTCCTCAATATTGGATTACAAGAGCACTCTCATGCTGGGCATGGTGGCACAGGGTTTTAATCCCAGCACTTGGGAGGCAGAATCGGGAGGATCTCTGTGAATTGGAGGCCAGCCGTGTCTTCAAAGTGAGTTCCAAGACAACCAAGGATACACAAAGAAACCTTGTCTCAAAAAAACCAACCAACCAACCAACCAACCAACCAACCAACCAACCAAATAAATAAATAAAAAGTACCAGAGTACTCTCAAGCTTGACTTTTTTACGTGGCTCTGGGAAATTAAGCCTGGGTCACCATGACTGCAGGGTAAGTACATCACTGAGCCGTCGCCTCCCAGTCTATTTTCTTAAAACTAATGTCAAATTCAACAAATATTTGTGTCTGTCTCCTTTTTAAGAAAACCCTGTGACACTTTGGGCAAGCATTTATTTCTCTTTGCCTATGTCCTGTACCCTCTCCAGTTTCCAGAGAGCACAAACAGGGCACATCCTTCCAGAACTTTTATCTCTACTCTTACATTGTATTGAATCTATAGGATAATGGATTGTGCTGGATTCGTAAAACATAAAAATGGAGTCTTGAAACTTAAGCTGTCCTGGAGACTTACTCATGGCATATGTGCTATCCTGTCTTTTCAAATCCCTTTTCTATCCTGTCCTTTCAAATTGCTTTAAAATGCAATTTGAAGCCGAACTGCACATCAGTCTTTTGAGTACCTTCGAGTACTTTTTGGTGGGTGTGTAGATTCAATTCCTAGAATTGGGACTGTTGTTTATGGCCCAAACCGAAACCAAGATACTTACATAACTGTCCTCTGAGGAGCCTACGACACTCGTCACTCTGATCAATAGGACTATTTGCCAAGATGTTTTTTAGTTTTTTAGTGTGTGTTGCGTGCAGGTGTGTGTGGAGGCCAGGGGAAATCTTCAGGCGTTATCTTTAGAAACCCTTCCCACCTCCTTTGAGCAGGGTCTCTCACTGTCCTGCAGTTAGGCTAGAGTGGCTGGCCAGTGAGCTGTGGGGATCTTCCCATCTCTGGTTCCCTAAGCTGGGATGACAAACATGCTCCACCACACACAACACTTCTCCATCAGTTCTGGGGCATCCAGACTCAGGTCCCTGTGCCAGGAAGGGCTTTCCTGACTGAGCCACCTCCTCAGCTCCGCTACAATGAAATTTTTTCCTTAGACAGCTGAGATCATGTGTGGAGTTTACTGCTCATCCTATCATCAGTCCACAGTAGGAACGGGGGAACTGAGGCACACAGTTAAAATAGCTCAGGGTGCAGGCAGAGCTTGTCTCCATTAAACGCGTCTTCTCCCTAACTCCTGAAGCACTCTAACTTTAGACAGAGTTAGAAGTAGCTTATGTTCGTTGGATATGAAAGCTGCCCCCGAGTGAGGCTGGAGAAAGGTAAAGCCAGAAATCCCAAATTGATGATTTATGATGCTCATGTAAAGAATTTACCATACAGGGATACATAAGAGCAAAGTGAGGACAGCAAGAAAATTCCTACAGGATCTAATATCATCTTAATGCTGTAGAACAAAAAAAAAAAAAAAAAGGAAATTGATTTAAGTCATAAAAGAAAATTTTCCTGAACATAGATCTTCAGATGAAAAGTTCGTTAAGCATTGAGAAGTGCTTAATAATAAAGACTAAATCAAAACATCTTTAGCCTGTCCTGCCCCCAGGGTCAGGGCAAAGAGAAGACCTATGGCCTATGAAACACAAGCTAGGGGTTGACGTCACTGGTTGGGTTTTGGTCCCAAGCAGCACAAAATCATGCAGCAAGGCCCTCTGCGACCCCAGCGAAGATGACTTGGTCAGCTTGCACATCCAGCTGACCAGCATTTGAGTTTATGTCCAAACAGTCTTTGGGCAGATGAGAAAAAGCTTGCCATTCATAGCCATTTTTGAAAGAATTAAGAGATTATTAGAGAAAGAAAGGAAAGTCAGCCGGGTGTGGCGTATGCATACGCATTTAACCCCAGCACTCAGGGAGGCAGAGGCAGGTGGATCTCTGTAAGTTCAACGCCAGCCTGGTCTACAAGTCGAGTCCAGGACAGCCAGGGTTACACAGAGAAACCCTGTCTTGAAAAACAAAAACAAAAGAAAGGAAAGTCTTTGAATGGAGAATAGGTGAAGTACATGACTAGGCACAATGACGCGCAAACATTGGAGTCATTTTGTCGTCTTAAAGAAACAGCCATTTCCTAGGTGATAGGGACTGTTCCAAAGCTTTAGAAAAATCCAGGAAGCACCCTCATTCATCTTAGGACAACTGGCATAGGTCAGATGCCAGTACGAGATGAGAACACAAGGGGCTGAGGTCATAGGTCAAGTGTAGAGCTCTTGCCTAGTATGTGCAAAGTCCTGGGTTTGATTCCCAGTAAAAAATATAGATAGTCAGTCATATAGCTATATATATATATATATAGAGAGAGAGAGAGAGAGAGAGTGCTAGTCAATATTATAATAGTCATATAAATAGATAATCACATCAATAGTTAAGACAGATAGCCATATAGTGATATACAGAGATAGTCATATAGTCATATAAATATGTCTATTTATATTTATATTTGTCACATAGCTAGATAAGATAGAAAGAAATTTAAACTGTCAAACTAATCTGTGTCTTTAAATTTAATAATAAAAAAGTTGTAAAAGTGACAACTTAGTCAAGCACAATTTATTCCAGGAACACAGGATTATTCTATGTATTGAAATTTATTAATATGAAGAAATATTACCTATTTTGTTAAAGGACAAGTCTAGCCCAAGCTGGCTTTGAATTTTCTTTTTATCCCTGGCTGACCTTGAATTTGCAATCCTCCTGCCTCAGCCTCTCAGGTATTGAGAGTATAAGCATGTGCTACCATGTCTGGCAGCAACATAAACAGACATACCTTCAACTTGAGGAAAGGTGATTAGCAAGCTGCTGAGAACAGCTTTGTGCTTAATGGTAAGATCTAGGAACAAAGATGCTCTGACAGGTAGCTCAGTCCGATGAGATGAAACACAAACACAAGCTCATCAATCCCTCTTTCCCATTTTCTCTCTCTCTCCCTCTCTCTCTTTTTTGAGACAGAGTCTCACTATGTAGCCTTGGCTGTCCTGGAACTCACTACAGAGACCATGCTGGACTCCAACTCACAGAGATCCACCTGCCTCTGTCTCCAAAGTGCTGGGATTAAAGGATTATGTCACTGTGCCTAGCTTGAGTAACATATGAAGGTGAAAGTGTGAGGTTTAGAAAATCCAGGTATTCAGTTGCAAATCTAGCAAGAAAGCTCAATAAAGTGTCTGGTAAGGGATAAATTCTCTTGCACACCAGTAATAATTCTTTTTAAAAAGTGTATAGGCATGTTTAGCTTGCAAGTGTATCTGTGCACAGTTGTGTGCAGTTCCCAGTGAGGACAGAAGAGGGCATCAGATCCCCTGGAAAAGGAGTTACAGACAGTTGCAAGCTGCCATGAGGGTGGTGGGAATCAATCTGGGTCCTCTGGAAGAGCAGCCAGTGTTAGTGCTCTTAATTGTTGAACCGCCTCTCCAGCCCCTATAATCCTTGAGATTAAATGTATAGAAGCTTCTCTTCAGGCTGGACATTGGAGCATTCATATTTGTCAGCACTTAGTTCAGGGCCTTTATGCATAGAAAGGCTAGCCAGCACTACATAAGGAGACCATATCTCAAAACCCAAAGAACTCCAGTTCGTAAAACCAGGAACCGCTGTGATATCCCCGGGAATAAACTCAGGAAAAAAAAATATGTGCCTATAAAGGGAAGTGTAAACCCTTAATGAGAGCAAATGAATGAAATCATAACACATCATCTTCCAGAGGGCTTGCTAATCTTCCACAATAACATAGAATATGTTAGCCAGCGTAAGTGTGAATTTCATTAAGAAGTCTAAGAATGGTTGGGAACCGTGTGAGCTATCCAAACAGTGAAGGGGGAGGGACCATGAGGTGTTGTCAGACGGGCTGTCAGTCACAGGAGCCCAGCTGACACTGGCGGAAGGAAAGCCCATCAGAAGCGTGGGTCCTGGCAGCCTTGTGTACGGAGGCTGTGCTCCGGCAGGTAGGCGCCTGAGTTACTGCAGGAGGGTTGGGATGGTCAGTGAATGGTTGGGGGACCACTGGAGAATCACTTAGGTAAGTGCAAAATTAAATCCGCATCTTATTTCCTATGCACATATGGACTGAGTACTAATGACGTAAAAACGAAAACTTACAAAACTGCTAAAAAATAACAAAAGAGATAAACTTCTATGAGCGTCCACGGCAAGGTGTAAAGCGTGCAATCTATAGGGGCGTGAGGCTTTGACTTTGCAAATATTTAAAGCTTGTACGTGGTAAAGATGTCATAATAAAGTTAAGTGAAATGGTACGGGCAGCGGAGACTACTTGCAGCATAGCAAGGCATTATTATTACAGCTATTAAGCAGCTTCCATAAATCAATACAAAAATAACGACACAGGCTTGGTTTTGTGTGTGTGTGTGTTTTAAAGGGAAGAATTAAAACTATAATTCGGTGGAAGCTGGGTCCATTTTTGGTAGTGAGCAGCTTCCTGGGGCTTCCTGTCCAGCTGCTGCAAGGGCTGCTGTTAGCTGCAGGCCCTCTAAGGGCCTTGCCTGGCTTGAAGAAAACTGACAATCTTTCCCTCAGCTCCTGCTCTGGAGGTCCATGCTGCTCCATAGTGTCCCCTGGAGTAATCCAAGGCCTTTGGGAGACTGCCTGGAAAGCTCTTTTCCTCTTTGTCTAGCCCAGCTCTGCTCCTCCTTCTCCTGAGCGTGGTTATGCCAAGATCTCTGCCTACAGACACTTGGGTGCAAATCCATCGAGGCTTGTTTTTTTCCCCCTCTGGAGAACCCAATTGGCTTCTATTAAGATTAAAGGAAATGAGGATTGTATTGAGGAAATTTTTCTTGCCCTACTCTTTAGTTTAATACAACTTAGAAGGGTATAAAATATATTATAAAGCTTCTTTTAATTATTGCTGATAAAGGTGTAAAATGATAGAACCATTTTGGTTTGCATGGCAATCACTCCAAACGAGCACATCTTTTGATGTAGCAGTCTCCGTAATAATGGCTCTCTCTCTCTCTCTCTCCTCTCTCCTCCTCCCTTTTTTTGAGATGGGGACTAATGAAGCTGCCTTGAACTCATTATGTAATGTTAGGGATAAACGGGCGTTCTGTAGTGCCATGGTTTTTGTATAGACTAGGCAAGAACTCTATCAACTGAGAGCCAACACCCACCTTACCCCAATCCCTGGTTAGGAGTCATCTTAAAGGAGATATAAAAGCTGGAAGTTAATAAAAAACTGAGTGGTACAATATTCGGGGTCAGGGAAACTCATTTGGTGGGAGGTTTGAGTCTCGGGTGGAAGAAGCTAGGACCAGTGGAGGGAACCCGGTGAAATGTCCGCCCGCCAGGGTTCCAGGGTTAGGGATTGGCTTCGGTCTTACCTTATTGAGAATTCCGCTGAGTTCCCCCTCCAGCATCTTCACTTGGCACTCTAGCAACTCGATGTTGCTCAGGGACGTCTGGTACTTGTCCCGGTAGTGGTTTAAGCTCCTTTCGAGGGAGAGGATCTTGTCCCCTGCCAAGGCAAGCTGCTCTTGAGCCAGATGGAGTTTTTCCCCCATGTTCTTGTCGTGTTTCCCCATTTCCTCTTCGAAGAGAGTGACCTGTTAGTGGAGGAGGGGAGCCACACTGAACCCACGCCAACAGGAAAGAGAAGGATGAGAGCACGAGAGCCCATAGCGTCTAAACCGTATGCCTAGATGAACAGGGTAGGCACGGGTCTAAAGGCTGCAGTGTTTAGGATAAATTGTGTGTGACTGAAGGACTGAGCAGGCTGACTTCTCACTTAGTGCCTTCTGGGTCTTCTCCCAGTCTCTCTGACATTTACTAGGCACAGAATAAACACCTAATGATGACTAAAAATGAGTCTGAGCTTTCCCGAAAGGACTTGGAATGCCCAAGTCCTTTCCTTCCCGGGCCCTCTCTAGAGATCTCACTTGGAAAGCATAGAGTCCCGTCTGCACGCAGTTTTCGGCCAGCAAGTACCCAAGGGAAAGGGAGGGGCCATATATCCGAGGTTTGCCTGAGATTTGCACGATTCTTATGTAAGTTATTTTTCTAATCTGTGACCACTGACACAGGTATCTCTAGGATGCATCAGGCTGGGCGAGATTCAGCTATACATACAGGGGGCACGGCTTCACATCTCTCGTAAGGCCGAGGTGAAATTGGCAACTGATTTCATGTAGTTGAGTGTGCTAGGTGGCATGTCGAGTTATACGTGATCAAGGAGTCAAGAGGAGAGCCACCGTGCCGGGCTTCATGTTGTTTCAAACTGTCCAAATCTGACAGAGATTGGCCCATTAATTAAGCTGGCTGAACTAAACTGCCTCGTGTGACATTCCTCTGAGGAGAGGATCATTTAGTTTAAGGTGTCTCTGAGGGAGAGAGGAGAGAGAGGTATTTGCTATTCATGTGTTATAGCAGAAGGAGTTGATCCTACTTACATTCCTGTAGCACTCACTATTTTTAAATGTGTGTATGTGTGTTACATAAACACACACACACACACACACACACACGCACGCACGCACACACACACACACACACACATGCCCATATGCTCGCCCCAGGGCTTGAAGCCCCACTGCCTAGAGCAAGTAAGCTACTCCATTAGGTATTTGCCCTTCTGTGACCACACCTCCGAGGGTTTCTTAGAGTCACTTCCTGGGTTCAGTACCTGACGGTGCTCAGCTGCTCATCTCAGGGTCTGCTGTTGGTGGAAGCCAACCCTCTGTAGGGCTGTGTGATACTTCTGTGTTGATGGCATCGAGAGAGGTGGGCAGAATGTTTAGAATAAAATTTACAACACTTTCCCAGACTGAGGTCTGGCGGTGACAGTTGCTTGCCGGATCCCATACCTAGCCTCCTCCTCCTTAGCAACCAGACATCTATTTGATTTTGACTGGGGGCAGTAATATGGCTCCTTAAGCATGACATTTCTTGGCTTCCTAGGAACTAGCTGGAGTCGTGTGTGTGTGTGTGTGTGTGTGTGTGTGTGTGTGTGTAACTTTTGGCAATCGTCCTTAATAGGGAAGCATGTACTTTCTTCCTGTCTTCCCTTTCACTCGGGTTGTTTGGTATAAGGATGTGATTGCTGGAGCTCTGACAGCCACCTCAGGCGACCCAGGGAATGGCTGTCTTGAGCAGGTGTGGTGCTAGAGCGAAAAGCCAGACTTCGGGTTCCTGGTTCCTGTTGACACATGGAGTTGCCATCACAGCAACACATCACCTGTCTCTGACTATCATTAATAATAGCTCTTTCAGGCCCTGATTTCTAAGTGGCCTCCCAGCGAACTCCAGGGCTCCTTCATCTAAGCCGGACTCCGGTTGAGGGTGTGTAGTGAACAGGCAGTTTGAACACTTAAGCGCTCTATTAAACCACAGCTGAAGCTCACAGATTCTCCCCAGATGACATTTTTGTGGGATAACCTTTCTTCCTTCCTTTCCCAGTCATTTTCTGCAGACTCTTTCTAGGCCATACTGTGCCCTTTAAAGAATTTTCTATGCTCTCTAAGGCCCCCTTTAAAGTCCCTGGAGTTAGTCTTTAACTGAAAACACCATCTACAATACTCCTCGGAGTTTTCCTTATGTCTGAAAGGAGAAACTGTCAGGGGAAGGCACGCCCATCAGTCCGCCTGCCCTATTTCGTAGAACCACGGTGCTAAGGCTGTCTGTGTCCCTCCTGCCAAACCCGTCTTAGTTCTGTGGGTCTTTGGAATTTCCTTGGGATTTCATAGGCATGCCGTTCTTTGCTTAATATATATGTATCTCCAGAGCATCAATATAAGTGAATGTCCAGAATGCACTTAAAACTAAGTCTCTCGGCTCTAAAACCCCGGCCTGAAGAAACAATATGGAACTTGGTGACCCCTCGGAACCAAGGGTTGAGCATCCTACCAGCTGTGCAGGTGCCGGGGGAGCCGACTTTCCTGAAAATATGGGATTCAATGGGCCTTTTACCTTTTTTTTTTTTTTTTTTTAAACTCTGAGAGACCTGGGGTCTCTTGTATTTTAACAGCCCTAACAATACGGAGAGGCTGTCCTTTCACACCAAACATGTGTACACAAGAACCCCCACACCCCGCACGCATCAACACTGGTTCTTTCAACCTGGCCACCCTGGTCCACCGAGTCTCCTTTTGCTAACCTTCCGACGGGTCGGGGGTCATGATCTAAAGAGGGAAGGCTCTTGAGCCTCCTCAAGGTGGTGCAAAGCCCCTGCTCCGGAAGGCAGTGCGGCCCCTGAGGGCTGGAGGCTCGAGGGTGCCTGGGAAGTGTCAGAGGTTAGATAATGGCACGCTACCTCATCCTCCTTAAGTTTGCAGTGGTGGTGGAAAAGCATGAGGTCAGACGTCTGCTTCTCCAGGATGGACTGGTACTGCAGGAGGGAGCAGTAGGAAGCCTGCAGCTCCTGGGTGCGGAACTCCAGCTCCTGCTGAAGGCTCAGCAGCTTCTTCTTCAGTTGCTGAAGCTGCCTCAGGTGACACTGCTTATTGGGATTGCAGTCCGTCGCCATCTCCTTGAACACCACTGTCTCGGTTTGTGTCTTGTTCTGTGGCACAGATGTACAGAATGGGGTTAGAAAGCCACGGAGGACGCAGTCATCCTTTGGCTTTTTGTTTTGTTTGTGTCATTTTTTTTTCATGTGTTCAACCATTTACACTCAGCCCTCCACCCTTTGATGTTTTTACCAACCGAGAGATTTCTAGACATTTTACTGCTCTCCTGAAGTCCTGCTTGTGTGTTACCTATGTATAGAAAATCGCCAAGCTTGGCCTAGGAGGAAATCCATCTTGGCCAATGCTTCATGAGCTGAATTTAGTTATTATAAGTAACCAGGTAACAGAGCATCAAAATGGCTAGATTCTGGGGGTCTGGGATGCTGGAGCATGGAAGGCAGAGACAGTGTTCACTCCTTGTGACCTTCTGGTTGTCTTGAAGAAAGCTGCCCCCCTCCCCCCAGTTCATAGATAAGATGGTTAAGTGGAGATGGAAAGGAGATTGATGGAAGCAAGCAGCAGCGATGTTCCAGAGACAGATTATAGCAAGTTCATAGACAAAGAAGAAGTTGCAAATCTGCCTGGTGCTATTTGAGATGCCTGGGGAAGCTGCCGCCACTGTACTTCCTTGAAAGAGAGAAAGTGAAGGCAGAGGGGTGGTGCTAGGTAGGCTGAGAAAAGGGAAACAAGGACCTGTAGGGTAAGGAGACCATCTTGAAGTCCTTAGGTAAGGAGGCCATCTTGAAGTCCTTAGGTAAAGAGGCCATCTTGAAGTCCTTAGCTCCTTTCAAGAAAGTGCCATGAAACTCTTAAGGATTTTACAAAGGAGACATGGCATGCTCTACAAAGTTACAGCTGTAAGACAGGAGTAGAGACAGCACACAGGAGGTGACTGTGTGTGTGTGTGTGTGTGTGAGAGAGAGAGAGAGAGAGGTATGAGACAAGATTGTAGCAATGGAAGTTAGGAGAAATTGGTTCTAGATCTGTTCTGAAAAGAGAGCCTCCAGAATTCACTGCTGAGTTAGGGTTGGACTGTGTAGGAATCATAGCCATCCAAGACAGTGATCTTAAGGGGTTAGCTCGAGTCACTGGAGGGATGGAGTTTTACTGAAACCTAGCTGAGATCCTGAGGAAAGAAAGCCTAAGCGAGAAGGGCAGTGGTCTATAAAGACAGTCTAGCTGAGAGCCAGAAACACAAATGCTGACCGCGTGACATCTCTCTCACCCACACGCCTCAGAACCGAGAAGACGGACAAGCAATGGACCTCTGTTATCCCCAGTGACAGAAATGTTCAGCGAAGACGAGTTCAATGTTTGGACCTTGGAACTCATGAATGCAGCTCCGGGGAAGGCGATGAGATGAATTTTGTATTTAGAGCATGTAGCTGATAATTGTCTATGTATGTCTGAAATATTGTTAGGTGATTTCAGTCTTCCCAGGCTAAGGATTTGCTGTACTCATGACTCATCTGTAAGTGAGGTTTGGAGAAGATGGAGTTGAGCATGCGTGTGTGTGTGTGTGTGTGTGTGTGAGCAATATTGGAAAAAAAAAACTTATCGCAGCTAAAAACTTAATGTGGACTGAACTAAAGGGAGGTGTGAACACTTTGGTGTTGATTTTGAGGGACTTGCTTCCGTGAAGAAAATACCCCCAAGTCTCCTGTTCCTCTTGCCCAGATCATCTGTTTTTTTAGCCTCACTCTTTTGAAGGCCAACTGATTGCTGAGGCTTAAAGGCTTGGGTGCAGTGTGTAACCAGGTTTGGATTGGCCTCTCTGCTGCTGGACATGGAGGCCCCAGCTGGAAGCTAGCTGCCGTCTCTGCGTGCATATTCCTTCATTGCACTTCCCTTTCTTATGTCTCCACTTTCCATTGTCCAAAAGGATGAGAAAAACATTCTCCGTTTGAAAGAAGCAAAATTGTCTTTCAGGCTTTTCTTCCCCGTACCTGGGGATGCTGGGAGAATTCAGAATTGCTCGCCAGCTTTGAAGCTTTCTGTTGGTATAGAATGTCTTTTCCTGAGTTCTGTGTATGAAGCTCCGTGCCCTGGCAGCCATACTAATGAACTGTGAGGCATTTCTCTTCCTCACAGGTCACGTGGAATCGTTCTGGGTTTTACTTTAGTTTGAGATAACAGGACAGAGCAGACAGATAATGGGGGGTGTTTTGAACTCTTGCACCTGGACTGATGTAGCTGATTAAGAAGGTCCAAGAGGTGCTTGAATCCACAGAGAAGACGGGATTTTTATGGGATGGGAATTCCAGATATTTGTGTATTATTGATACCTATGGGTTTGGAAAAGCCAAGTTTTAAAGACTATGAGAAATGTTTAAAATTAGTTCGGACCTACCTACTAAATTTCTACTTACTTGCCTTATATACTTAAATGTTTATTTTTCTTAACTCTTGATAAATGTACAATAACAATAAGGTTAAAATCACACTCTACTTAGGCGTGTGCCAAAGGACAAGTTCAGAAACTCACCACCACACTTTCCATTGTATGCCGACAGACCTGTGTTTGTGCGCTCGCCTGTGGGTGTGTGCACACGTGGGGCCGGAGGTTGATGTCAGGTGTCTTCCTTGATTGCTCTCCACCTCAGTCTTTTGAAACAGGGTCTCTTATTGGATCTGGAGCTTGCCATTTCGACTAAGCTAGCTCTGAGCTTCGGGACTTTGCCATCCCCTCCCCCACGCTGGGCTAGGCCCACAGACGTGTGCCCCCACGCCACATGGGTGCCGGGAGATGAATTCGGGTCCTCCTGCTGGCACGTTATTCCCTGAGCCACCTCCCTGGCCCCATCTTCCTTCCTTAAATGTTTTTTTCCCCCTAGTGAAGAAACACATTATACTCCTCCTTGACTTCCAGTTTGAGATATGGAAAAGCAAGCGAGGAGGAAGTGGTCTTACAATGGCGACACTAGCTCTCCAGGCAACCTTCCAGCGTCGGATGTGACGCCGGAGGCCAGCTCCCTGCTCTGCCAGGTTTCTCAGCTGGGTTTCCGGCCCGCTATCAGCCACATGAAAAGCTGGAGCTCTCTAGCTGCCCAGAGGTACCTGTTCCCGTATTTAGTCAACCTTTCAGCCCCACTGTGGTCAAAGAGATTATAGCTATTGCTCCTTCCTTGCCTATGCGGCCACTTGATCACAGAAGGAAATTAATTGGCCTGGCGTGATTCATTTTTTGAAAAGTCACATTGGTTTCCACCCAACACTTTGTGCTTTTGAAGTTGATGCTAATTGATTGATGTTAAGTTCTATATTTTCCCTGATATTGAAGTGAAGCTGACAGGCCTATAATTACCAGGATTGTCCTTTCTCCCTTTTAAAAAAGATGAGCACTTCATTTACCCTTTTTCAGTCTACAGGGACTTTCTTTATCCTCTTGAGCTCTCAAAAATAATCACCAGCAGCTGTGTAATAACACCTGCCAATTCCTTAAGCACTCTTAGAAGAATGTCGTCGGGCCCCGCTGATTTGCCTAAAGCCAGCTTTTCAAAATACCTTTTAACCATTTATTCCCTCTTCAGGCTTGCATGTTCTCCTGTCAAAGGTTGGCATTGTTCTGATAACTGTGTCCCTGATGAGTTTCCTTTATCCATTTAAGAACTTTGAGTCTCCTCATCTTCTCCCCAGTCATCGCCATGAACTTCTCTTCCTGTCTTTGAGGTGTTGAGTGAGATACTCCCTTGGAGCTCCAGGTTAACTCCATCACTAGAGAGGCTTGTCCGCTACTTCCTGTGTCACCTGTAAGCCGTGTGCACTTCTCCTTGTTGACTACAGAAGAGCTGCGTGCTCAGCCACAGGCATTTTATTAAAATGAATGTTTGTGGTTTAGACATTCTTCTCGCCAGACCTCTGCTTACAGGGGACCCATTTAAAAAATCCATTTGGAACGATTTTCTATTCACAGGCAAATTCAAAAACAGGACAACCGAACTAAGAGATTAATGCTGGTAGGTTATTAGGAATGAAACTAGATTCTGTTTTTTTTTTTTTAATTTAACATGTATTTTTAGTTTTAATTCTGTTCTAGGGTCCAATTCAGGACCACTACATTTAGCAAATTCATTAAAGCTGCCTTCATTACCTAGATGGTTCAAAACGATGTCTGATGATAATGCCCACCAGGCTTCTACTAATCTTCAGATAGTCAACTAATTACCCTTACCTGAAAGGATAACATTTGCTTTGTATGTTTTTATGCTAAAAATGGTGCCCTCCATACATGTCCAAAATCAGTTCAACAATAGAAGCAACGATAGGATGCTCCCTGAGCCCCCACCAATGAATAAAGCCTGGGTAAGTTGCTTTTAAGGCCCCGCCTTTTCTGGCTCAATATTATTTATTTGGTTTCAGCCGTGCAGGCGTGTACGTCTCTGGGTAGTCGTGTCTGCGTGCACTGGTGTGGAGGCTCTAGGCATCAATGTCAGGCAACTTCCTCAATTGCTCTCCACCTTAGTTTTTGAGAAATGGGCTTTCACTAATGTGTAGCTTTCCTATTCAGCTTGACTGGCTGGCTAGCAAGGCTCGGGGTCCCCTGTGCTGTGATGTAGGCACTCATTGCCACAGCGTTTTGTCCGAGTCCTTTTTATATGCCATGATTTTTATGAGTTCCAAGGATCCAGACGCAGGCCATCATACTTTGTATCAAGCACTTTACCTCGTAAACTGTTTCTCCAGCTTCTGACTTGTCTTTAGAGATGGGTCTTGCTGTGTAATTCAGGCTAGCCTAGAACTTGCTACACAGGCCAGGATGGTCTGAGGCTGGTAATTCCCCTGCCTCAAGCTTCCTAGCTCTGGGATTTCAGGTGTGTACCACAATACCCAGTCTTTGATCATGTTATTTTAATATGTCTGTTGTTCGTTTTTCTTCATTCACTTTGAGTCACTCT